CTCACTTTGTTTTGAACTATGAATAAACAAATTCAAGGTTCCTGAAGGACAATTACTTTTTACTTGTAGATTCCACTCAAAGACTTCAAAGAATGCAAGCTCACAGAAGTTGTCGTCTTTCAATGATCATGTCTTCAAAAGAAACCATTCTGTTTTAGAAAAGCATTAGTGTTTGCAATTACTGGTTAATATAGATTATAATCACCGGGGCTTGTTAACAGGTCCTGCTGCACACCCTCCCCCCCCCACTGTGTTTGGTCTGGTTTGATTTATGGTTCTGTATCCAGATTTCTTGAGGTTGGGTTAAACACAGCAGGTTTTTTTTAATAACTGACTCAATATGCACCCTGGGACAGTTTACAGTGTAAAGTGAATTAGTGAAATGGAGATTGATTATAAAACTCATGAAATACCTATTTTGATCTTAAAAGTTAAAGAACTGGTAAGAATAATTTTTAATCTGTGGATTTATTGCTCTTCAGTATAAATCAGAATACTGTCTGTGCAGTCCATCATTTCTGTATTGGCCCTACACAAAAGCAGTTCAGCTAGTAATCCCCCACCTTCTTGCCTTTACCTTGTAACACTGCACTTTTTTTCATTTTCGATGATCCCATTTTCCTTGAAAAGTCACAACTGAATCTACCTCCAACATACTGGAGCAAATACATTCCAGACCCTATGCCAATCTGCATAAAAGGATTTTTCCTCATGTCATCACTTTAAATTGGTGCCCTGTGATTCTTCTTCCACCAATAGAAACAGTTTCTACCCATCTACTCTATATACAGACTTGTGATTTTTGATATCTCTATCAAATTTTCCCTTCACCTTCTCTTCAAAGGCAAACAGCCCCAGTTTCTGCCATCCATCATCACAAATGAAATTCCTCATCCCTGAAACTACAATCATGAATCATTTCTGCACCCTCCCTGAAGCCTTCAAATCCTTCCTAAAGTCTGGTGCCCAGAACTGGATGGAACATTCCATTTCAGGCTGAACTAGTGTAAGATACAGCTTTATCAAAACTGGTTTTTAGGCTCCATGCCCCGGATTCTAAATCCCAGAATCCTGTCTCCTTTATTAACCACTTTCCTAACCTGCCTTGCCACCTTCAATTTTTTTGTGCACATATAGACAAACATGTCTCATGTGCTTACACCTCCCTTTATTATATATTGGATTTCCTAGTTCTGCCCACCAAAATGAATCACTTCATACACCCCTATATTAAATTACATCTGACAGTTGTTTGACTGTTCTACCAGGGTACAGCCATTTAACTTTTAATACTATCCTCCTTACAGTTCACAATATTTCCAAGTTCACTGTTATCCATACATTTTGAGAAGGGGTCTTGACAATTACACTGTTAATCTATTAACAACAGATACCCTAACACTGTCTTCTGGGGAAGCTCACTAGAAATCTTTTTTCTGACAAACAAATGGTCATACTATTTCCTATCACTCAACCAATTTCACATTCAAACTGATTCCATAAGTTCTGACTTTTCTCTAATCTTTTGTGTGGCTGTTTAAAATGACTTAGAACAACTACATCTCCCTAATCAACCCTTGCCATTACCTCAAAACAACTCAGTGAATTTAGTTAAACACAATTTGCTTTTAACAAATCTGAATAAACATTCCTTAAATTACCTATATGTAACCAAGTAACGTTAATTTTGTTCAAATTACTATTTTCAAAGCTTCCCCATTGCAGAGGTGAAAATATAGTTGTTGGGCTCACCTTAATATTTCTTTCAAAAAAAAAAGGTATAACATTTGCAAATCCCCAACTCTTCGGGTGCCACCCTTCTACCTAATGAAGACTAAATAACAATGAGCAGGATCTCTGCAATTTCAATCCTTACTCCTTTCAGTACCCTTGAGTGCATTTTGTCCAGCTCTGGTAACTTATCAATGTTTACGCACAGCAATCTTACCTAATAATCCTCTAACTATTTTTAGCCAAGCAAGTTTCTCAACTCCCACCTTTGTCACTAGGATTAGAACTTCTTCCTTGGTTAAGACAGGTGTAAAGTTTTCATTAAAGACAGAGTAGGGAAATTTTCCTGCAGCTGTATTAGGGCTTTGGTGAGACCCCATCTGGAGAACTGTGAACAATTTTTGTTTCCTTACTTGAAAAAAAAAGGATATAACTGCATTAGAAACACTTCAGAGAACGTTCACTCATGTGATTCCTGAGAGAAAAGGTTGAACAGGTTAGGCCTTTAATCATTGGAGTTTAGGAAAATGAAAAGGTGATAATATTGTTATACACAGACAAGGACAAGGAACGCTGAGGTGACTCCCCTTGTAGAAGTGACTAAAACTAGGGCTCACTGTTTAACAAGAGGTCTCAATCTTAAGATCAAAGAAAAATGTTTTCCATCAGAGGCTCATTGGTCTGTGGAATTCTCTTCCGCAGAAAACATGAGTGTGGGTCACAGTCTTGTATAAGTTCAGTTAGATTGTCCATTAAAAAAGTCAATGAGTGAGGAGTTGTGGGAGGCAGACAGAAAACGGGAGTAGACACCACCAGAAGATCACTAATTTTCTTTCAAATGGCAGGGCGGTTTCGAAGTCAATTCCTAAGGAACATGTTTCCTGCTTCAATACATAAAACCCCTTTAGGCACCTAATTCGACTCACGTTTACTTTTACCACTCATTTATATGCCTCTAAACATAGTTCTGAGTTCACTTTTATATCTCTTCTTCTCGCACTCTCCTTGTTTCTCTTATTTGTATTTTTCCCCCACTCCCTGAGCCTTCGATATTGAATCTGAATCAAATTATTCACCTGACAACTGTCAATTGTGCCCATTTTCTGCTTCCTTTGATTCTTTATATCTTCTTCATCCAAGGACCTCTGGATTTGTTTCTCTTAACTTGTCTTGACTGGACCAGAACTAGCTCCTCTTTAAAGGCAGCCCATTGTTTAGTTAGTTTTGCTAACCATTGACTCCAATTTATTTGAGCCAGATCAGTTCTACCCCAATTAGTTATTCCTATTATGCCATGCTCCTTGTCCTTTGCCATAACTAACCTAAACCTTGACAAATACATGAATAGGATACAATGATCACTGTTCCCAATATGTTCTGCTGATATTGGTTCCACTTGCGTCCACTGATTCTCAAGAACAAGATCCAGCCTCCTTTCTAATTGGATTAGAAATTTATTGACATAGAAACTTCCCCTGACACAGACTGTAAGGTCTGTCCCCCCACTGCCCTTTAAACAATCACTATCCTTGTCATATCAGGGTACTTAAAGTTTTCCATTATAAATACTCTGCAATTTTTGCACCTCTTCCATTTTCTCAAAAATGTGCCCCCCTACATTTTCCCACTATTTGGTGGTCTATATTTTAAATCAAACAACATAATTAGACCTGTTTCAGAGAT